GCTAGTTAATAATCCATACTGATAGTCAAGCCTACATCTCCAAATAAAAAACTATAGAAAAGTAGGATTCCTAAAAAATCCACAAAAGATGGCTAAAGAAACAAAATTAATTCTTGTGGACATGAATATTAACCCTGATAAAGAAAAAAGAATTAGATTTAAATTTTATCAAGATTAAAGTATATTTTAATATTAAATATAACAAGGAAGCAAACATTCTAGCCAAAGAAGTATTAAAGTTTTCAACAATAGAATAACAAGATCTGAATTTATTTAATATTATTACTAAAATTAAATAACAAAATATAGTGCTGGATGCTTCAATAAGACAGCTTGTTAAAAAAACCAATGTCAAAATAATAATATATCAATGGATAACCCAAAATAAAATAGACAAAAAGTAAGGTCATCAAATCCAAGACTAGCACAAATCCATATGAAATCTAATTTGAAAATAAATGAATAATGGGTATATATAAAATATCTCTTTCAAAGGATTATAAAGAAAAAGCTTTCTTATTAAAATGATCAGTGATAAGCTATCTATATTAACAAAGCTAGCCATAAGAAAATTAGACTTATACAAGCAAGTAAAATGTCTCACATGTAGATAGCAAGAAGAGACAATAGAACACTTGTTAGAATATCTAACATATAAAATTCAGTAGTAAGAAATTTAATAGAAGGGTATGGAAGATATGATGCAAAATTTCAACAAACTTTTGATAGATATGAAAAAATAGTTAGAAGAAAAGAGATAAGTCTGACAGTTGATGGCAGAATGAAAAAAGGAGAAATAGATAAGAAAATAGTTCAATTAGTGAAAAGGATCTTAAATATTGGTGAAATATACTTAGTTTCTATATGAAACTAATTAAAAAAAACTTAATGAATAAAATAGTAGACTTGAAATACTATGGAAAGAGAATCAGCAAAGAAACAAGAAAATGAATAATAAAGATGCAAAAGAAAATATGTAATCACTTCTGAAAAAAATTTTGGAATATCAGATACAAGAAGGTAATAAAGTAAGAATGAATATTTGAAATCAATAGAAGTGACAAGATCAAAAGATTAACATATCTACAGGTGCAAAAAAACAAGACCAAGGTACCATAAAATTGATTATATCAAGTACTATTAAAGGAAGAAAAATTAGAAAATACAATGCTCATACAGGTCTTGCAAAATGTGATAAAGTATGGGATGAAATAATTGGATTTTAATCTTTATCAAAACTCGAAAGAATAATCTGCATTAGTAATTTGCAGACAATAATATTGGAAGTTGGAAGAATGTTTATCTAAACTCCTAATAAAGTGATAAATTACTCTTGAAATTATACTTAGAAAAATAAAATAATCAAGATAAGTAAATTAATTAAAAAATTAATTTTAGCATTTCATGTTATATGTATAGTTTACAAATGTTTAATTAAACATACGTAACTAACCTGATAGGGAACAAAAAAAAATAATAATAAATTTACAATAATAATTAGTTAATATAAAACTTTATAGTTAGAGAATAATTTGAATTATAAAAAAATTAAAATATTATTTTCTAAGTTATATCTAGAAAAAATAAAATTCAATAATAAATAAGATAATATATAAAAGTTTTTTAAATTATAATTATTTTTTTTAATACATAATAAAGATAAGTTATGTTTGTCTAATAATGAGTTAAAAAATATATATTATTAAAATATAAAATTAATATTTTAAATAAAAAATTTTTTAAGAATATCAAAGTTAAAAAATTTTTTAAAAAAAATATAATTTAAAAATTGTTTTTTACTTAAATTTATTTGTAATAATTAAATTAATTTTAAAAAAATAAGGAATTAATAGTATATGGTAAACTACTTAAAAATTTTAAAGCTTTAAAATTAAAATTGCATTTTTTAAATGATATATGATTTCTACTATATCTGCAGTAATAATCTATAATAATAATATTTAATAAAGCACACGTGACTGACCTGACAAAAAAAATAATGTGTGCTATATAATCAGTCCCAAAGTAGTTTACGATGTTTAAAAAGCACACGTAGCTAGCCTGACAGCGGGTTATGCTCTAATCAGTCCATATCTGGTAATTAATTACAATAGACAAATAATTAAATTATGCAATATATATTTCGTTGTTTCAGATTTATGTAATGTTGTTAATTGAAATACATGCACGTGACAAGTTGTAGTAGGAATAAATAAGCGCGTGCGTAGCATATTTTTATATTTTTGAACAAATTTGAGAAACATGTTAAAATTACAAGTTTCTGTAGGATCCTCTTACGATCGATCAGCCCTCACCGTAATCTCTCCAAATAATGACGCGAAGCCATTTTTTTTAGATACACCAAATTTTACAGGTAGAATTTGCGTCCGTATAAAAGATTTCCAAGGTATCACGCCTCCTGATGCCATACGAATCCCGTCAAGCCCTTACTTTGAAGGGAATAAGGATAAATATTCGATACAAGTTCAAGGGACATTTAAAGGGAAACGATGGACAGCAGATGACATCCTCTTTGGTGTAAGTATCTTGAATGCATTTTCAATAATAGGTACCAGATCTTATTATGTATTGAAGATAAGGATGAGCAAAGTTAATACGCCACCTTACCTATTTTTGTGCTTGTGGCATACAGAGCGTATACGTAAATTGACCCTAATTGATCATTCGAACAAACCGACTTCTTTTTCAGAACGACTTTGATCGCAGAATTAAGTTACCACGCATAAGTTGGTTAGGTCTGAAAGTTCTCAAGTGGATAGATCCTTGCTTAGAGACTGATCTCGATTGTGATAAACCTTGGGCTTATAGCCCATTATTTTTCACAATCAATACATTACGCGTCGAACATCAGAATCACGAAAGTGAACTTCCGCCGTGGCCTTCATCCAATGGTAGACGCATTGAAGAAGGTACAATATATAATCCCGATCACAAGTCATTAATTTCAAGTGACGTTTCTTCGCGTAAAAAATACTTCACCTCCGAGAGTAATCGAAAAGAATTTGAAGTCACCGAAGATCAAATCTTGAACCTTGATTTTTTTAACCCTTATGTTGATTTTAATAATATTGCGGTGAAGGTATGATTTTTAAAGACGAGATAATTTCTTTCATATTTACTTATATATAAAGTATATCTATTTATTTTGTTTTTGAAATTTTACATAGCTTCCCGGACTTCAACTTGGAATATTGCAATATTGGGATGGACAGGTGATTCTATCGTTTGCTTTCGTTATAGCTTGAACTCTAAATAATCATTTTTTTTTTTTTTTTTGTCTTGTCACTATACTGTATATCAGCCTTTCCGCTATGTTTGTAAATCACGTGATTCTTCTGTCATCTTCTTTATTGTTATGTTTGAACTGGTAGAGATAAACGATGAAAAGGATAACGGTAATGAGATGATTAGGCCGCCTATAACCAGGATCGAACATGATCGGGAAGATGCTTTGACACCGAAATCTGGTGCCAGATGGGCATCGGTTAAATCACCTTCTTCTCAAGTGTTTTCGTCTCATTATCCTCCAAATTCGTTTTCCTCGGATTCTCCAGTTAAGAATTTGCGTACCGACAAAAATACCAATTACGAGAACGATAGTGATTGATTAACGCTATGTTCAATAAAGTAAAAGCACGTTTACTTTGATATCACTCAGATCAACAAAGAGCCACGTGATCCTCATTCTTGAATTTCCATATTGGTTACCGTTTATAAATAGTGTGAATCGATCAAATGTTGATACATCTAGACTTTAGAGTTTCAACTCTTTCTTTTTTATACTGAACTTTCACCGAGTATGTTTCGATATTAATCTTTATTTAGACCCAAACATCGTTGAGAATTTAACTTTATTGCATCTTGCGATTTTTTTTTTTTTTTTAACAATTACTGCATTAAATTATTCTTAAGTTTCGGAGTTCAGGTTAGTTTAAAACTATTCGATATAATGTACATACAATATACTTTATATAAATTAGTCTCAGTTGACATTTAGAATTTGTCAGTGGTTTTGTCGAATATATCTTTAGAAATTACTAAAATGATTCATGTTTGATCCAAGAATTGTAGGGAAAAACAGAGGAAGGGTGAAATAGCGGCATTTAAGAAAGAGGTAGAGGTATAATTGGGATCATGTGAACAGTGTAACGTTGTTGCGTCAATGTGCGTAACTGCGAAAAAAGACATATCGCAAAAGCCTCATTTTTCGCTTTACAACATGACACATCCTTTAGAATTTATTGGACAAATAATCGACCTGATTATTGTGGAGTTGCCTGTATATTCACGATGAAAGTATTTAAAACTCCCACACGAACGGCAGTCACCGAGTGGATAGGTTTGTTGTTAAAATAAATATATGCTTTTTCCGTCATTTTCACCAAATAATCTAATATGTTAAATCAGAACGCATGACATCAAATCAATATCAAGAGGAGGATTTATCTGACGTGTTTCAATTATGTGAGGCTATAAATCTGCAAGATACGGGGTAAGAAAATATTTTCCCTTGCTAATTTTTCAGTGATTCTGTTTAACATATTATTCATGTAACCGCCAAATTTAGCCCTAAAGAAGCGAACAAAGCTTTAAGACGAGTATTTAAATATGGAAATGCGCATTCACATCTTTTGGGTCTTTCTGTATTTACAAACAATTGGTTCAATTTCGAAGACATTGGGGCAACTTGATTCATTTCAATGCTAGATGTCTGAGACTGAACTGTGCTTCTATTGTTTTTAGATCTTGAAGACCTTGGTTGAAAATTGCGGCGAAAACTTTCAGGGTAGGCAACAACGTAGATTTTGATTTTATTAACAATTTGTAAATCTTACTGAGACCCTTGGAAATTATTTACAATAGCGCAAGTCGCCTCACCAAAGTTTGTCGACCGATTGAGAATTCTTGC